CAAACGCAAACGACAAATTTAAAAGTTTAATTCGAAAAGTCGGCCGTTCGTTAAATCGGCGCGTCGATGTAATCGGTAGAAAAATACGAACCGCTTTGTGAAAGGTCCTTTTAATATTTCAAAACCGCAATTCCGTTTATATCCCTCCGTGCCTAGTTTAACAATTTTCATACGTCTCTCGCGTGTAAAATAGGTTAACAGATCAAACACGGTTCATTTTTCACGCGCGTACAGGGTGATTCACGCGACAAGGGGGGTACGCCGCGAAACGCCACGAGAGAGATATGCTTGTCCGTGATACCGCGACGGTTATCTTCGACGGAAATAATTTTCCACGCTTTTACGTTTCCGTTTAAGAGGAGAAAAATTCTCCGTAAGAGTAATCTCTCGTGGCGTTAAAAAATTCAACGCTCGTCCGCGCCGCGTGAATCACCCTGTAAACCCCCGTTAACGGCTCCAACTTCATTTTCTCGCGCGTATTACATTTCAAAATATGAAAAAAAAATGAAAAAAAAAAAAAAGAAAAAAGAAAGGAGAAAAAGAAAAGAGACGAAAAAAAAAAAGACACGCAAAAGAGTAGAAAAACGGACTCAATTTGGCGTGTGCCGGGAATGTCGATATTGTTATCACCCGACGTGTCATACCCTACACAACAAAAAGCACTGTGTGCGTATGTATATATGCGCTCGCGCGCGCGTGTGTTCGTGCGCGCCTGTGTGTCGTGTGGTGTGTCCTCTTTCATTCGATCGCTACGTGATGCACAGGTATTTTATAACGTGGCTACTGGTGCTCCTGTATAATCTGGCCGTGCCTTCGACTCGTTACACATTTTTGATTCGTTACACGCCGGCGGAAAAATCTCGGCTGGAGGAAGGCCGCGTATCGACGGGCCTCCTCCAAGTTTCCATGGAAAAACACCATCGCGCGGGTATTCCGGGGTCGCACGCGATCGTAAGAAAACCGCTTAACGCGGCTCGACGAGCGTTCAAGTTTGATGGCCTAATAGGAAAGAGACGACGGAGTCGCGTGTAAATCCCATCGATCCCGGCCGAGTAAAGATAATCCTGAACTCCATGTGCGACGCGAGGGGGGCACGAGGCGTGGTTTCGCGCGGAATCGAAAGCGGAACCGAAAGCGGAATCCCGGACGATCCCGCTCGAGCGATCAGAAGTTTGCAGACACTACGGGTGGAAGAAACGAAAGAGACAAGCGAAGAGTATAATACGTCGACCAGCACGCGGGAGAAATTAAGAGGAAACTCGTAACCTGATGAGAGTGACGTTTGAAAGAGAGCCAACAAAATGCCGGATTTCGTTAGGGGAGGCACGCGTATAAATGGCGGAGAGAAATGAAAGAAACGTAAAGAAGGTCGGTGATACGCATTTCGGAAAAAAAAAGAAAAAAAAAAAGAAAGATAAGGGGAAGAAAAATACAAGAAGATTCACAGATGATGGATGTGAAAATGCCGATGCGATAGACGAGGAACAGAAAAATTACGGCGTATGGTTCGCGTACGTGATAATACGTGGCGTGAGAAACGTCTAAAAGAGACGTGAGTAATATCTTACCTCTGGTTGTCACGTCGTGATACACTTAATCTAGCAATGAACAGAGTAGATGATAGAATGATCGAAGGAGAAGTGGGGGGAGAGAGGGGTTGGGAAGAATTGGACGGTGAAAAAACTGGAAGGACGACATAGAAAACCAGGCAATCGTAGTCTTACCTCGAGAGGTCCTTCGTCTGGGTCCTCGTGCAAACCGGAAGAAAAAAGAGACGCAGAGGAGGAGAGGGAGGAGAAGGAGGAACGAAGGCGTTGAACGAGCGAATCGGAAGGACGACGGTAACGCTCATTAGCGAACATGTAGTCGATGAGGGTTTAATGACGATGTAGGACCGTAGAATGCGGTTCGCGTTCCGCGAAATAGGGGGAGGCTCTCGAGCATGGAGGCAAAGGTGAGAGAAAGCGGATTCCTCGAAAGTAATTAATCGAGAGTGCAACTAATGGACAAAGGATTCGCGGAAAGAATGGCGGCGGTGCCGGAAGCCGGCTTCGGGCAAAGAACTTCTTTAGGGAACGCTCGGTTCGAAAGTAATTTCGCGCGGTGGAAGATGAAATTCTTCTCGTTGGATATACGCGTACTTTTTCTTTTTTTCTTTTTCTGTTTTCTTTTTTCCAAACGATCCGGAACGCGCATCGACAGTAGGTTTCGCGCGAAAGACGATTGAAGCAGAGCGACACCCTGAAAAACTTCGACATGGCCGGACAAGACGCGCTTGGCCGTAGTAGCGACGACCCGCACCAACCACGATTCCACGGTGAAAGATTCGTCCTCCCTGTGGTCGAGAAATGATCGAAAAGCTCGAGAGAACGACTCGCGATACGGAGATTCCTCTCGGAGGAGGAATCCCCTCGAAGGGATGATCGAGGGCGGAGAGTTGGGTGGTATAATAACTCGAGTCGGGGTATTTCGGAGGGCGGGAGGCGTCATACGACATCTTACCTCCAGAAGCTCCTGACTTTGCGTCTGGGTCTGGGCCTGCTGGGTATTGTCCATGCTGGCGTTGGTGGTGGTGGTGGTGCCTGTGGACGTGGTGCTGGAGGGTGGCGTGGAGAGCTGCGTCGGTTGCGACGTCGACGGGACGACCGTGACGGAGGTGGTGGACAATGAGAGAGGCGGCGGCGGCGGCGGCGGTGGTGGTGGTGGCGGCGGCGGCGGAGGTGGTGGCGG